ACAAGCGCCGGTCCTGTCTCTACCTGTATCCCATCCCTGATGAGGATTGATACACCTCCACCACGACAGGTGCGAGCTATCCCATAATGTTGGAACCCAGGGAGTCCAAAACTAGCTGCTTCAGGGGGGTGGGACATTTTTGCCCCACTCAGTAAGCAGAACGTGATATCGTCCTCGTAGAGCTGTTTACCCAAGGCTATGCGTTTGGCCTGTGTTAGCCCGGCTGAGTTCCATTGCATGCCCCTCAATGTGGGGCCGGGATTCTCTTCCGCATTTCCACTAAGCAGCAAATTGGTGCGGATGACACTGCTGACGGCGCGGTAACACGCGCCCCAAGACCGACGAATATAATCCTGTGTCCCAGCAAGGCGCGGCGGGTCCTGGTACTGCGCGACGCCGCAAACCTCGCGCCGCAAAGTTCTCCAGGTGGCGAACGTTGCTGGCGCTTGGCTTCCCCCGACAATACGGGGTGCTGGACCGTGTTGCCGCAATGGGGCGGCCGGCATCACCAAGGAAATTCAGGCATATTTGGGAAAATTAGCAACTCCGGTAAAGCGAAAAACTGTTTGCTGCTGCAGTACACAAAAGTCCTGTCGCACACCACCACCTTCATTACCAACACACACGCCCTGCCGAGGGACTAGCTGAGGGGGCAAGCGACTGCGATGCACCACGCAACGATAGCAATGCCCCTCTCAGATTCTACAGCAGAGTCTGGCGCCTAAGAATTAGCTGGAGAGCGCAGTAGCGGGAAGATCACACATTCCTCACTTCCAGCAGAAGATCCAAACGATTTTGTTGGTGCACAGCTGAAAGGTTCAAGACACAGCCCAAGGGGAGAAATAACAAGCCAGAGTGGCGTCGCTCGAGGGTCAAGCACCCCATAACAAATAACCTTGGAGATCGGTATTTTCAGAGTCGCGAGGGGCAAAGCAGCTGTGAAAGTCCTCCTCCTGTCTGATTGAAGAGAAATCAACGCCAAAAAATAATGAATGGCACAAAACAGCAGAATAAACTATAATCAATCAATAAGCACAAAGTGCAACGAACCCAAATCCCTCCAAAGGCGGAGCAGCATCGTCGTTTCATACGCTGTAGTGTTATTTCTTATCACTTGTTTATCCCCTCTCTTACCCCCACCCCTGCATCAAGGAAGTTTGTCGCCTTCCCTTTGGGTGAGCCACGATCACTCGAGAGCACCAATTAACTTTGAAAAAGAGGTGTTTAAAGCGTCTTTTACCCCGCCTCCTGAGGCCTCTTTCGCAATACCTATGTGGTTAATGTTTTGGTACCTCGAAATATCATCTGCAGGGCTTGCTCCACAAATCACGTATTCCAAAGCACATTCTATTTAAACATCCTGCAAAACCTCTTCCACTTCGGACGTCTCTTGTATTAAAGCATTAGAGTGTATATTCCCCTTCTGCACAATGCGCATGAATGTCGTATTTACAACGGCAAATGTGAAGAACCCCTACAAATGAAAATTAAACTTGGCGACGGTAAAAGACACAGAGAGCACGGTGTCTCAGTTGATGTACACATCAGGCGTTCATAAGGAATTGTTGTTTTCATATTATTATTTTTTTTAAGGCTGCGAGCAGGCGCTGATTTCGGTTCAATCAGGAGCTGTTTCACCCTTAAGATCAGGCAGCTCTCCACGGAATGCGCCCGAATTGGGTCAGGGGGTGGCTCCAACTATTGATGATAAATGAGCATATACTCCCTCCTCCTAACTTGTCAGCTTTCTCTGCATTGGTGGCGGGTGCCTCCATGTATGGATAGGGCACGTTGTTGCTCAAGGGCACGGGGGAAGTGTTGCCAGCAGGTGGTGCGTGGGAACAGGCGCCGCTGATGAATTCCCAGTGAGAAGGGCAGTACAAATGGCTTTACGCGCCCAAAAAGACGGCGCCTCCCCCCGTAGGGGTCATACCGTTTGGGTCTCGAAGTAGTTATTTTCTTCTCGTGATCAATGAGCATTCTAATACATTCGTATGTGCACGCACCAAACTGCTGTTTTCCCAGCGTGGAGCCGCATTGGTCCATATTTTGGGCGATCTGTTCTCTCCACCGCTCTAAAATCTTCTGCGGGCACTATCACCCACATGTAAATTCGGAGCTGTGATGCTGCTGCGAGCCATGGTTGTGCAACCCCCGAATCCCCTGCCAGCACTCGAGTGATGGCGCAGAGGATCGCTGGGCTGCCTCTGCTGGCCATGGGTAGGCGTGCAAATTCTATAGACTCTCTCGATTCTGTTCCGCAACTAAAACTTGCCCGCACGCCCTTTGTCAGGGCCGCCTTAAAAAAGATTACCTTAGGTCAAATAAAGAAGTTGTGCCATCACAAAGCGCACCGGGGAGCTGGGAAATGTGACTGGGTGGAACCTCTGCTTCGCAATCCTCCTTTGAGTTCTTGGTCCACGGCCGCACAATAAACCGTCATCTTTGGCACGATGTTTTCTCCTCTACCACAGTAAAGCATATCGCCCATCCTGTTTTGGGTTGGCCTGAAGCGGTTTGGATAAGCCCCATCTTCTTCATGATTAAAGCGTCCTCTGCAATGCGCAGATTAGATTCCCGGTCTCATATCATCGAAGTGACGGACGGCCACATAGTGCCCCACTCCTCGTCAAAGCGGTCCTTTGTCCTGAAAGTCGGCCGACCTCTGATCCAACCCGGTGGCACGGTGTCCCAAATCAACATGCTGTAGAGGTAAATGCTTCTCTTCTTCACGTGAGGCCAAGTGGGACCGATGAGTGTAGCGGAAAATGCTACAGGTCTGTAAACGGAGCCGTGTCCTACCCTGTAATGGCACCATGTGAGTCCACGGTCCTGTGACCTATTTATTTCAACCCCGCGGCATCAACGATGTAGGTCGTGTTGGATTGTGGGTGGTCTTGACCCAGAACCCCAGGTAACGAACTGTGCAGCGGGAGAGTTCCGTTATATCGTCATTTTTTTTCTTTTTTAGATGCATCAGCAATCGAGGGTCGAGACCGTGTTCGGTCACTGCCGCTGTTGCGTGGGTCAGGCTTCCTCCTTTCATCGAGTGCGCGGTCATGCGGTACAAATAGAGAATGGTTTCCGTGTCTTTTATGGCGATTCCCGTTGATTCTTTCTCTTCCTTTGATGGCCACGAGATGGGGTGCGCGCCCTCCCCCAGATCACGCGGTAGTACGCTGCTCTACGCAAGTGGCTCTCGAACAAATTTTGGGTCCTCATGAATTCACGATAATAGCGCTCTGGTCGTGAGAATGTTGGGCAAAATTATGTGCTGGGGTACAAGCCTGAGGTCAAACGAGTGAGAAACGTCCTTTATGAACTGTATTGCGCTGTGTTTGGTAATTTGCAGACATACAATAAATGGGGGAATGGTTTATTCTTGAAGCGCATGACCGTGTTGCGTTGCAAGCTCACGGAATCTCCTCATTGTGGAACCCCTTTTAGTTCCCAGGTTGAGTGGGTCTGCAAGCGCATCACAATGCGGTCAGCCTCTGTTGCTATCACCAAGATATACGGCTCGTGTGTTAGAGCAAGAATAACGGTAACAGTATTAACTGATACCAACTTCAACCGAAGCATATCTCTTGTGCCTCCCATCAACCCCCGGAGAGACATTGGCACCTGTGGTGAATATGCGTGCCGCCAACGCAGGGAGAAGTTTTTTTGGTGGCGACTGGAGTGAGCAGAGCGTGAAAAAAAGTGGCGCTATCGCGCGTGTAGAACCCAATGTGTGACTTCCCGCTGCGCGCAGTGGCCGAATACCGAATGCCCCCAGAAGTCATTGCCCCCGGGGCCGCAAGTAATTTTTCGGCTGAGAGGTTTTATTGCGCAGTTTCACTCCACACGTTGTGCTGTAGTGTCCACCCAGACCGCGTCGGTAGCAGCGCGCATTGCTCCGTAGGAAAGTTGTTTTCAATTTATTGATCTCAAAGGCTGCCAGGATAAAAAGGACATCTTGTTTAGGGAGCCTTCAGTAGCTTCGCGGACATCCTGAATCCACGCGTCAAAACGATCCTTGACTGTTAAGAGGGCACACAGCCCTGTATAAAGTCTTCCGTCCAATTGCAAGGAATCATCTGTCGTCTCAGCTCCGTGAATGGCGGAGGTCCAGTAAAAAAAACTTTTCCACGCATCTTTATGCGCTGGAACTGGTGTTGCCACCCTTGGAAATAGGCATTAGAATGTGAGGAGGAGCCGCTCCGGTGAGTTGTCTCCATGGCATTTCACAGCCCCATCAAATTTCCGAATGATTTCCGCCAGTCGGGCCCTTGGTCCCTTAGCTTTCTCAACGCCCCTGCCCACCCCTACAACCAGCTCTTGGAAGGGTCTCTGGAGAAAGGTCTTGCTCAGCCCCCTTCCATGCAAAGTCACCCATTCGCTTTTGAGGGAATGGTGCGTTCTGTTGGCCTTTGGGCAGTGCGGTGTCTAGTCCCTTTGGGGGGGGGGGGGGGGGTCCGTCGTTGCTGAAGAAACCCGGGTCAGCAACTGGTGTTGGCGATTGATAACAGTGCCACTCCCAACCTTCATTTCGGCATGCGTTTGATCAAGTAACTCCTGCATGTGTGGGAAGGCGGTGTTGCCATTCTTGAAACTGAGCCTGGACCCTTTGTTGCAACCAAGGAGTTTCATCCAAAAGTTAGGCACAATCGCACTTATACTGTTGATGCGTGATCGGTCCCCGCTTTTCGACGGTCACCCAACCAGCGCAAAGAGCGGAGCGACCCTCTTAGAAAGCACCGAAAAATTCTTGGTTTATTGGCAGGGTGAAGAAAACCAAAGGCAGGGGCAAGAAGACTTGATTCATCTCATGTGCCTGATCGATGTGAGCGATGAGTCACCCTTTTTCAAGAGATGGCAAAAGACGCCCACGTCATACATCAGGTGGGAACTTTGTTCCGGACTGGAATCAAGGGAAAACGCCGTTGTTTTTTTACGTTAGACGAAAGATGTGAATGACCTTGCGCAAGTTTGTCACTTGACGTCAGGAAAAGAGTACCGTGTCGTTGATTATATGCTTTGGAAACCTGGCGTCCAAACTCACATTCAGGGGAAAAATTGCAAACTCACCCCCAAAACCTACATTTAGCGTCCACCTTGCATAAATAAAAAGGACAAGAAAATGACCCTCGTTCTCAAAAGGCAAAACAGGAAGGCTAGATCATTCCGTTCGAATGCTCCTAAAATCACAACATAGCAAGGTGCCTAGTCAATTACCTACACCCACATCAGCGACAAACGAAATCTTTTAAAAAGGCATAAATGCATCGCCCTAATTCCACAACACCTGTTATTCATGTATTAGATAAATCAAGCATCCACAAAGCGAAATGTCACACCCGAACCGTTAAGGCCTCATTTCCGACCGGATTATCATAAGCAGGTGTGATTTCCTTCACCTGGTAAGAATCTGGAGTAGTGAGCCGCGCCCACCGATGCTCGGCAGCTTATTTATAACACCAAAGTAAACACATCACGAGGACGAACCTCGTCTGCAACACACACACGCACACGCACAAAACAACAGTGTAACCCCAGCCATACAATGTTTCCATAGCCAACCAATAATCCAATCCTGAACACACGCGTGCAAAATTCCCTTACGGTCTTTTACGTGGCATCAGTATCAAATGTATGACAACAAAGCGCAGAAGGAGCATACCCTTTCGAGTTACACGTACAACGCACTCTTCATTCACATCGTGTTGACGAGCTTCCAATTGGTCAGACCTCCAAATTGTAACCATGCACATCAGTGTAGCCAAAATAAAAATCAGACTTAGAATAACCTGTAACGGTATTCTCAAGAGTCTGATTCTCATAAATACCCTTCGTCTTATCGGTTGGAACGTAGTTAGAGTCTATATCGGGCACGCGGAGCACAGAGGGTTGACCAGCGCGATCAGCAACCCTCAACGCTTCAAATTCACGCAGGTTGATTTCCTCCACCATCACGGCGCATGAAATCGGAGATACAGCTGTCAATAGTCCGTGGTTTCTAAGGACAACCTTTGCAAAAATGCAACTCCCACTGAGTCCTTTCGGTTCCTTGCCTCTGACAAGAATAAAACTCAAATCAAGGCCATGCATTCTAGAGAGGTAGTCCAGAACACCAATACTCCTCAACATCCCACATCTATGAAGATACACTTTCTCAACTGTATCGCTAGATGCAAGAGAAGAAACATAAATCAAGCGGTTACATTCCTTAGTATTGATTCTCTTGACACTGCAGCTCGCACTGAGATCACTAAGACCCACGTTTGTTTGTTTTTTTTGAGCAGAGAAACACAACTTAGGCACTAATAGAAGAGGCAGCACACCAAGGGCACAGAGGTAGATCAAGCGTTCGTGTCCATTTCGATTCACTTCCTCCAGGGTCTCAGCGGCTGGCATGGGCAAAAAATCCGTCACCTGCCTGCAGTGGCACAGATCAATCTGAACGAGAAACTGTTCTCCACGAAGTCTGACCAGGCTCTCGACTCTGAGAGCAGCGACGCTCAAATTCAAGGAGCACAGTATTGACAGCGGGTGCATTATTCCTCAACTTGCCACAGAGGCACAACCATACAGAGAAAGCCGTTTCAATCAATGAAAAATTATCGATTGACTTACATCTTTATCACATGGGTATTTACTGCCCACGGTGAGTTCAGTTAGGACAGAAGGCTGGCAGAGCGAAGCAAGACTGGGAATTCCAGTGCCACATTCCATGCATACCCCTTGTATCCCTTAAAGTTTAGCCTATTCCTCTGTATCACAGGAACCCTAACTCTGGTTTTTGTCTATCCAGGTTAGTGATGTAGATATGCAAAGGCGTGACAAGTCGTCAATACGTATTCCCTTAAGGGTAGATTCGAGGGCACGGCTACAACATATGCCACCCTGCAAACCAAATGTGAATATACATTTGACTCGTGGAGCAGAGTGTATCCCCTTATGGCAATAATATTAAACACAAACTTTACCCCAATGCCTGTTAGAAAACGGTTTTCGCCTTTCAATAAATGGAAGCATCAAACCACAGACACCCACACTCGGTTTACCTCGAAGCTGGGTCTCGCCAGGTGACCTGTTCGTTGGCAAGTTCAGACCAATATTAAATTAAACCACTTTACATAGTGCAAATACAACGTTCCGACTGTCGGATTCATAGCTCAGTGGTAGAGCATTCGGCTGCAGTCCGAACGGTCCCCGGTTCAAACCCGGGTGGGTCCTGTCTTTTTCAAGATGCTCACCTTCAACAACAGGCAATGGGTTTTTTTTTCTTATTTATTTAGTTATTTTGTTGCCAAGAACGGCCCGCAGGCAAAATGGTCAAACTTTGCCCCCCGCGTCATTAATATCGATCTTTTCGCATTTTATCCTTGCAGAGCTTCTCGCAAGGATGCGTTTTTAAAGTAGGCCTTATAGAACGCACCCGCCGGCATACCCATCCTTGAAGGGAAATGGGCGGCCAGCGCACGGACATTTGCATCCCGGACGGGGCAAAAGCACCCACCATGGTTTTCATTTGTTCGTTGCCAAGCGCAAAGCCCGCACATGATTTATCACATCGAAGGTGTTTTGGCCCTCAAATAAGGGAAGGCTGGCATGCATTTCGAACGGGTAGAAGCAGCAGTTTCGACCAGCATGCGCGGGGTGTGCTAACCTTTGCCGCGCAAAGCAACTTGCATTTTCCAAGGGCTTTGAACGAAGTACCGACAGCTCTGCGATCCGATCTGGCCATGGTGTTAAATAAGGCATTCGTCTTGCATCACGGATGCGGCGGCGCCAGTGCACAATTGCCCGATGAAACGTTTCGGGCACATCAGCGTAAACGCGTGCGGTTTCAGGAGCTTCAGCAGAAGCGGGGCTGATGCAAAAGGTGCTAAACGAAGAACATGCGCAAATTCAGCACCTACAAAAAACTAGCAGGTATCAGAGGATTCAATAACCGAAACTCTCTAGTAACTGATATCTCTGTTTACATACTTTCCAGAGAAGCAGGCGTTCAACTAAACCTGGGTACGGCAATAAAATATATTGCGTTGAGGGATGAAACAATCCACATTTTGAAAGGCAGATACCCACAGGGAGGGCTTTGAGGCACAGGAGGGCGCTGAGATACAGAATGGCTGAAAATAAAGCTGTTGAATTTTTTCTTTTCTCGTGTCTTTACGACTCTCGTCGATGGCCCTGCTTCATCAGCCACCGTCGCAGAGCACGTTCATTACTGTTGAGTTTCCATGTGGAAGGAGGCCCCTTTCGTTCATTGCGTATTTTGTTGTTTTGGGTATTTTTTTTAAGCCTGCAAAAGGAATGGTCAAGCCTTACCCAATCCTGTTAACAGGAGATCCTGCAATCCATCATCATTCTTGTATTCATATCTTGCCGTTGGAAAGTCGCAAAGGGTAAGTTTTTGAAAC